TATAGTGATAATTCACTCCACTCTTGGCTACCCAAGGTCAGACAGCCACGGCTAAAAGACAAGGATGGTCTAATCCCCATTGTAATATATTATAACGAAGAAGGTGGTTCTTCCGTTTCTGATGGTAGCTCTTTGCCCCAGATCAGTAAGAGAGTTCAAATCTTCCCGAGATGATTCCTTAGGCAAACCATGTATTTAGTCATTAGGTTCATCAAGGCTGACAGACCAAAGCCCACAGCCCTGGGCTGCCATCCACTTGTGCTTGGGAGGCCCCTGCTACCGCTTTCTCCCTTGCCGTTTGTTGTCAATTGCTTTTCTGTTTTTACATATATATTTTATGTCCTGATCAGTTTTAGGGTGAAATATTCTTGCTTTTCCTGACTTGATACCAATGCAGCCAAAACAAAACCCTTATTAACCTCAAGGAAGGAATCTCAATGGAAGAAATAATGTGGAGATGAGGTTTCCTTTTTATTGTATACAGTTGTTGCTTTTTCTTTTGTTTTATTTTAGAAAAAAATTAGCGATTCAGCCTCAGAGATCTGTCCATCTTTGGGCTCCCTAGGACAGACGTGCCTCTCTGAAGGGGTGCTCGTTATTGTTTTAGCTTTTAAAAAACTCATCTGATGAACTAAGGGAATTACATACAAGTTGTAATGTACAAAATTACAAATATGGTCTGCTTTAATATTACCATGACAATGTGAATCGAGACACAGACAGTACCTTCTGGAACAATGAGAGTAGATATTTTCTGTCATCCATGAAATTAGACAGCTCAGCAAAGGTTCTCATTCTCATAACAATAGAATCCAGCTCCTCGTTCTCAAACAAAGTAGCGACCTTTCCTCCGTTGATAATGTAGTTCAAATCTTCCAGAAATGATGCCTTAAATGAAGCATAGATTAATCAGGGGTGAAGAAATCACACATTCTGCTTTGAACAAATTGAGAAAGTGTCAGCAATCAGGGAAAGAAGGCCACTGACCACAAATGCTGACGTGGTAGTCTAGTCTCATCAAGATAAGCCTCAGCTACCCACCCTTTAATTCAAACATGTCGGAGAGATATGTACTAGGTACTCAGTAGACGCTATATGCCTGGGGTTGGGTGCATGACAGTGAGCTGGACCTTGTACCAGGAAGTAAAGCTAGAATTAGCCTGGTGGAGGTATTATTTTGACTTGAACAAGTCTCTCACCACCACACCTTTGTTCCTCTCAGCCTTTGGCCCGAGATGGCTTTCTATATAACCACTGATGGAATTAGAATGATGGGCTCTAAGCATGGCAGAAATAGCATCTTTTGAAACCAGAAAGAAAGTCTGTTGGGTAAGTCTCAAGGGGATTACTGAAACAGGGTGTTTAGATTTGGGGAAAGTAAGAAAACACAGAAAAAGTAGAAAATTTAGATTCTTATAAAATATGACAGATGACATGGAACTTCATTTATTCTCAAATATGCCATTTGGCCAAAAAATTTTGGTAGACAGAAACCCAGAATTAAGAGAAAAAGAAGGATAAGGTTTAAATACTATTTTAAAGTACATTTTTTTCAGAATACAAGTCACGTACATCTTCTGGAATTTGGTCATAAGGAGTAAAAATGACGTGCAGTGACATTCCTAGTTATGTTTTGACTTAGTAAAAGGACACAATTTGTGCAAAATAGTGGGGAAGTTTTGCTTGTATGTAAAAAACAATCCTGCAAGGAGCATCCGATAGCGATGGATAAAGGAGAGAAAGAGAAGTGTCCAAAGTTGCTACAACACATAGAAGTTACACAAACATCTGTGCACGTCTGTGGGCAGATAACAGACTGAGCTCTGATAAGAAGTTGCTGATTTTGCTACCGGGCGTAATTACTTCCAATCTGTCGATTAGAATGGAAATGACAAAGGCAGGAAACACTTCTGCTGTTTGTTTACTCCAGACTAAGGCATGATTGCAAACACAGCCTGTAGGCTTTGGCTGGGCAAGCACAGAACACAGACACTGAAATGGTGCGCTTAACCGGAAAACTCACACACAGTCACACAAACCTTCTTGGGGACATAAAGGGCATCAGCACTTACTTGCCCTTCTTGTAAGTCGGGGACCATGACAACAGTGGGGGTCCCTTCCAAGCCGGCTTGAATAAACACCTTCTTAAACATTTCTCTGAAGTCTGAGATGGCAGAGTTGTGAGCTATAGGCACTCGGTGGATTTTATGTTCTGCCACATAGCAGGCTAAGGTTGAGTAAGTTTCTTTTCCACATCCCTCGATTCCAATCTTTGTGAAAAACAAACAAATCCAATATCTGATTCATAAAGTCCTGGCGTTTGGGATTTAGAGCAGGGTAATACTACTCATTTATCAAGGACAAGGCCCTGAGTGTGTTCCTAGCACACACAAACAAACACCCGTGGTCCTGAGAATCAACCAACAAGTACTTTTCTCTTTATTTATGCTAGCTATATTTACAGTAAGCATACTTCAGACTATAAGACAAATACCTGCCTTCAATCTCTTCATAGCCTCTTAAAATGTATGAAATTTTACTGTACTGATAATCCGGAAAAATAGCACAAATGGACTTATAAACCAATAGTATGTCATTATCAGGATCTGATGCTTTGTTCATAAAACTAGATAGGTATTTCTTTTATTTGATAATCAATGTCCTTTGGTGGTGATAAAATGACCTCACACACGTCTGTGGACACTGAGCTGAGGATGCATGCCTGGCATGGACCAAACCCTGGCTGATTCCCCCAAAGCACATAAAATAGGGCAAGGTGGTATACCCCTGTAACCCCAGCATTTGGGATGTGGATCATAAATTCAAGGTCAACCTAGGCTACACTTGGTGTTCAAGGCTGGCCTGGGAGATGCCAGACCCTGTCTCAAAAAGAACAAAATTGCAAATGCTAAGGTTCAGTCTTTAGCTGTGAAGCTCTGTGGTTTTGACAAATATATACCATGCTGGTTTTGAAAGAAAATGCCCCCCAAGGGAGTGGCACTGTTAGGAGGTGTGGCCTTGTTGAAGGAAGTGTGTCTCTGTGGGGGAGGGCTTTGAAGTCTGTTTTCTCAAGTGTTACTCAGTGTGTCAAGATGTAGCACCCTCGGCTCCAGCACCACGTCTGCCTGCACACTGCCATGCTCCCTGTTGTGATGATAATGGACTGAACCTCTGAAACCATAACCAAGCCATCCCAATTAAATATTTTCTTTATAAAATTTGCCATGTTCATGGTGTCCCTTCATACCAATAAAAACCCAAACTAAGACATAAATTATAAGGTATTCATGATTGCATTATCAAACAGAATTTCATCACTTTAAAAAAACTGTTGGAGCTTCCCTCTTGAGCAAGCTCTTGGCAACCACCGATAAGCCTACCATCTCCATAGTTCTATCTTTTTTTTTCTGAATATAATTGGAATTATGTAAGCATATCATTTTCCAGATCATCTTATTTCTCTTAGTGCATGCATTCATGATTCACCATGTCCTTTTGCAGCCTACTAGCTTGTGTGTTGGGGCGGTTGTGTGTGTGTGTGTGTTCATGGCTGCACATGGTTTACAGGTGCATGTGGGGTACTTTCACATACAGGCCATAGATCCACCTTAGGTGTTTCTCAGAAGCTGGCCACCTTGTTTTTTGAGACAGGGTCTTCTACTGTGGACTGGGGTCTGCTGTTTAGGAAAGCCTGGCTTGTCAGCAAGTGCCAGGGATCCTCCTGTCTCTGCCGGGATTGCAAGTACACAGGTGCTGGGAATCAGATGCCTTAGGCTTGGGCAGCACGCTACTGACCCAGCCACTCTCTAGCCTTACTTTATTTATTAATCTCTGAATGATATTACACTGTATAGGTTATCATGTGCCTGTTGAGTTTCAGCTTGGTAACTTTCAAGTTTTGGCTGTTATGGTTAAAGTTGCTTTAGTCATCCACACGCAGGCTTTTTTGTGGCTATACATTTTCATGTATATAGAAGCATGCTTGCTAGACTGCATACCCAGACTATATTTAGCTTTGCAAGACACTGCCTAACCGTCTCTCAATGTGACCGTGCCATTTGCATTCCTACCAACACCAAGAGCTCCTGTTGGTCTCTCTCCATGTGGTAATTGATATGATCCCTCCTTAGGATATTGATTCCTTTAACGCTCAGGTGCTGGTATCATCACAGCTTGGTTCCCCCAAAGAGAACTGATTCTGAGAATGTTTTCTTGAACTTTTGGGAAGTATCTCTTTATTTTCAATCGAGTTGTTTGCCCTTGTGATTTTCTCCAAGGAAGAGCATGTAAAATTGTGAACAGAGACACTTGCACATACGTTTTTTCCATTCTGAATCCCACCCCCTACTTATTGCCCAACTCTTTGGCTAGAACCCTCATTATAATGTTGAACAGAAGCTGGGAGATGGAGCACACTTGTCCTCAGGGTTAGAGTTAATGTTTTAATAATTCACTGTTAAGCTGCAAGGTTTTTATAGATGTTCTTAATTAGGTTGACAAACGTCTCTGTATGGAGCAAGGTTTTTAAAAATCATAAATGTTGAATTTTTAAAATTTTCAAAACTTGAGAGTTTTGCTTTTAATTTTTAAATATAGTATCATATTCAAGTACTTTTGGGCACTGAACTAGACACACATTACTGGGATGAATCTCACTTTTGCTCGATATAAAATACTTCTTATATATCACCTGCCTTAGTTTGCTAATATGTTCAGAGTTATTACAATAATATGCCCAAGAGAGACAGATGTAGTTTTCTTATTATTAAGTCATCTCTGGCTTGTATACAGCTTGTCTGCTATATAGTCATGTGCCAGAAGTTTGGTCCACAGTGTGGTGCTCAAAAGTACAATAACTCTTAAGCAGTGGAACTATGGGAAGAGAGATGGCTTTTAAGAGGCAACTGACTCCTCTGGAGCTCAGTAAAAACGGTTGTTATTACACAGCCTCGTCCTTCCTTTAAATCTCTTCCCCTCTTCTGGATGCTGATGGCCCTTCTGTATATGGTCATTTGCTTTCCTGCTTCTTCACTGCTATATTGTGACACAACAAAGGGTCCCAACTAGGACAGGACCTGGGACCACGCGGTCTGGACTCTTTGGGACCTGGCACCATGAGCTAAACCCCAGGGAGCTTTATTTTACCTGCTCAAGAAGGACTGGAGTCTCTGTCTGGCCTTTCTATTGGTATTTCTAGAAAGAAGGAGAAACTGGAGAGCAAAACCTCCTCTATTTCCTTGAAGACTCTGTGAACGATCGGTATAAATTCTTCTTTAAACAGTTGTTAGAATTCTCCAGTGAAGCCGTTTGATTCTGTGGTTTTCCTTGTGGGAAGTTTCTGAATTCCTAATTAAATTTTTCTTTTCTTTCTTTCTTTCTTTCTTTCTTTCTTTCTTTATTTCTTTCTCTCTTTCTTTCTTTCTTTCTCTTTTTCTTTCTTTCTTTTTTGTGGCAGACCCACTAAGGCTTTCCAAAGCTTCAGTTTTTATGTTGGTGTCTGTGATGGCCAATGTTACTTCTCAGCCTGGCAAGACCTAGAGTCACCTGGAGGCAGGCCTCAGGGCGTGCTGGTGAGGAATTATCTTGACATTAACTGATGAAGGAAAACTCAGCTTACTGTGCACAGGAGTCTTCCCCGACAGGGATCCTGGACTGTGTACATGGAGAGAGGAAACCGAGCAGCGAGAATGCATCCCTCGTTTTCTTCTCCTGAGTATGATGTCATGTGACCAGTAGCTTCAAGCCCCTGCTGCCTCGACTCTTCTGCTGTGATGGACTGTATCTTCAACTGCGAGCCCAAAGAAATCTTTGTCCTTTACGTTGCTTGTGTCAAGGTGCTGTCACCACAGCAACAGAAAAGGAGATAAGGCAGTGTCTGTCTAGGAAACGCCCCTTTTGTATAAGCGATCTAGTTTACTATTTCCTATGGCCCCTCCCATTTCTGTAATGGTAGTAGTGACATGGATAGCCTTGCTATTGATTTTAGCTTGAATCTTCTCTCGAGTCAGTCTAGCTCAAGGGATTGTCTTGATCCTTTAAAGAACCAACTTTTGGATTCACTGAAATCCTTAGTTGCTTTGCTTTTGCCTTTTTCTACTCCATTTTAACTATTCTCTTCCTTTTGCTTCTCTTGGGATCAGTTTTCTTTTTGTAGTTTCCTGAGGCAGAAATCTAGGCTATTGATTTGAAGTTTTCTTATTTTTAAGTATAAACATTAAAACCTATAGATTTCTTATAGAATTTCCTGTAAGTACTGCTTTAGGCATATAGTGTAATTGCTTTCATTTCCCCAAGGTATTTTCTAATTTGAAGACAAACTTTGGGGCATGACTGAGAAAGTTTTTAGGTTAGTTGATTTGAGAAGACCAACCCTAGCAGGCAGCACTGTCCACGGGCTGGAGTCCCAGACAGAAGAAAGGGGATACTCATGAGACACCATTGTAGATGGGAGAGCTAGTTAGAAAATAGCCGGCAGGGGCGGGAGAATGGTGCTGGATTTATTTTGTATTGTGTTTCTTGATTCTATTTTCTTATTCTAAATATTTTTTAGTTAATTTTTTTTCAAATGTCTATTTAAAAAAAGATTAAGTCAAAATTTAGTGTGCTACATGCAAGATAAAATCTTCTTTTGGAGAAAAAAGTTATAAATAAAATATAAATTTATACAATTGGCTAAATATCATGGATTAAAACTGTTTCATTACATTTATTTATCTATTGATGTGTGTGTGTGTGTATGCACAGACACGACACAGCCTGAGCAGAGCTCAGAAGGCAGTTGTAGGAGTACGTTCTCCCTCTACCATGTGGATCTCATTATCAAACGCAGGCTGTCAGGCTTAGCAGCACACACTTTTACCCACTGAGCTATCTTGCTGTCCCAATATTGTGGGTTTTATTTAGTTTTCTAAAACCTTTTCTCTGTGTAAGTATTTGGAACTTTCTGTTAACTCAGCTGTCACTGACTCTCATAAGAAACACATCTTTGTGTAATGGCTCCTGCGTCTAACTCAATATCCAACCTGGTATACTACTTTCAAAGCCAGGATCCACCTGTGCAGATGTTAGATTAATGCTAGGATACATTATGTGTGGTGCAAACACATCTGTTTTAGCCATACCAAGGGCCTTTCCCAAACAAATAGCATGTTCCCGTGCCAGCAAATTTCTTCTGCAAACAATGAAGACAAAGATCCTGTTCTATGACTCAATTATTGGGATCTTCATAGTTTATTTGACTACAGCTTCAATAAGTAGATTTTCCTGGAGTTTCTGAGGTTTTGGTTTGCAAACTTAAAAACACTTGAAAAACTGAAATTCATACCAACAACATGTGACTCTCTGGCTGTCGGAGGATCCTGGTAGCTCTTGTAATGTGCTCCATAGCTTCCTTGAAGAATACAATTGAATGAGACATCTAGCAGAAGAAAGGTAGCAAACGAACGAGGTACAGGTTTAGCAAAGTCAAGTGTGCATTATGATTTCATGTACAAGGAAACGGGAATGGGAGCGACTCTTTAGTGGCATGGTGGTGACCAAGACCCAGCTAACAATCTATGTCAACATTTAGAGAAGACAAATTTTCACAGTGAGCTCACTCACCCCTTTACTAATACTCTAGTGAGCTGACCCGGGCACTTGTGGGGTTGAGTTTACAGAATGAAGGACAGAAAAATGGCATCTAAGTTGCTTTTCTGTTGCTTTCCTGGCAGTGGCTGGTGGGGGAGACTTAGGAAATTCCACATGGTGTCTGTGATTTGGCTGGCGTCTCTTTCAGTGTGTCTCTGCTCATTACAGCCATGGAAAAGACAAAAAGAGCCACAGCCATGGTGAGTTTGTCACTCGGGACCCCGATGCTATATTCTCTTGAATTTCTTAACTCCATTATCTCTGCCACTCAGTTCCCTACAGCCTCAGCTCACCCCATCTTTACAATTAGATGCCACTGAGACAAAGAATAGCGAAACCCACAAACAAGTGTGTTTCTAATGGTCTGCTTTAAAACCAGAGGGAAGACTCCTCAGGCACACAGCCTTGAAAATATCTGATATATATTTATACAAGTACACCCAAATAAACATGTACATGCTTAGCACTCCCCAGGTTTTCCTAGAGTGTAGCTTTACCTCCAGAGATGTTGAGCCCGACCTCATTTGGAATTCCTTAAGTATGCTGAAAATTTTGTTGTAGTTATTGGTGCTCTGGTAGATCTTCTTTCTGTGAGGCTTGTTTACATCCATGAAGTCCACAAATACAGTTGGGCTATTCATCAGGCTTTCGTGGGTCCAATGGATCTGTTGTAAGAAGAGAACTCAGTGAGCATTCGATCGATATGCAAGAATTCATTGTCTTTACATTGTAATCCTATCTTTCCTAAGACCAATCTGTCTGTCATAGAAGATTCCAGCAGTGGATCCTAGGACTCAGGCTCTTAACCTACTTGTGTATGTGTGTGCGTGTACACGCACGTGTGTATGTGTTTTCCTTCAGGAAGTGAAGTTTGTGGACCCCTCCTCAAAATCATATTTTTTAAGGATTCTCATAAAATACAAGTATTCAGAAGTCAAGAATATAGATAGAAATAGAGTTCTGCCCAAAAATTCTCCTTTGGGTTGAGAGCTCTAACTGTAGCTCCACGGACAACGTGCGATAAGGGTTCTTCCTCAGTCAGCTGTTAGTGATCATCCCAGTCCTGTGACTTCCCACACTTGCCTCCTTTGGTTCTCTATCATTCCAAGGCTGCTAATTCTTCCTCATTAGACAGTCTCAAGTTTCCTCTTCTCTAAAACCAGCCACAGTGTCTGGCCCTTTCACCTCCTGTCCACTGCAGGGGTCTTTGCGCTGGCTATCAGAGCTAAAGGTGACTGCAGGCAGTGTCCACACCAGTTCCTGTAGTTCTCAGCATGCGCCTCACTGGCTACCCAGCGCTGGGAATTCCTGATGGACGTTCAGGAGTCATTCGCTTAGCAAATGGTGGTCCAAGGACAGAAGGACAGAACGGCATGATGGCTAAGGGGCTGTCTGACACCAGATGTGCTAGGTTTGGATGGTGATGCCGTCACCTGACCAGCTGCGTAACCTTGCTCTGCTCGGCACTAATTGTCAGGCGAGGATAATAATTGCCTACATTGTAGAGTTGTTGTGAAGGAAGATTAAGGTAGGAACGGTGTGTAAAGCTCTTAAGACAGCACCTCGCGCACCGTGTTCCCTATTATTAGAGTCACAGTCCACTCTCTAACGAAGGCAACCAGTTAATTAAGTGTTGATGGAGGAAGGTCATTGGCTAATAAAGGAACTGCCTTGGCCCATTTTATTGGTTAGAACATAGGTAGGTGGAGTAAACAGAACAGAATGCTGGGAGGAAGAGGAAGTGAGCTCAGACTCCACAGCTCTCCTCTTGGGAGCAGACGCCTCAGAGAGACGCCATGCTTCCTGCTCCAGGGAAGATGCACGCAATGAACCTCTGACCCAGGATGGACGTAGGCTAGAATCTTCCCAGTAAGACCGGTGCTACACAGATGATAAGAAATGGGCTAGTCCAGGTGCGAGAGTTAGCCTAGAAGAGGCTAGATAGAAATGGGCCAAGCAGTGTTTAAATGAATACAGTTTGTGTGTTGTTATTTCGGGCATAAGCTAGCCAAGCAGGCGGCCGGGGTGCTGGGAATGCAGCCCCGCCGCTCTTATTTCAACAAAGTGTTAATTCTCATGCTAGTAGTTTATATCCTTGATTGATACAGTCGTTAATTCTGCCACCCACAGGGCTGATGGCCGCTGAGAAAACCTGGTTCCCATGGAGTTGTTTCCTCATCTGTGAAAACAGATTTGTGCACGCACTTACAGGGAGGTCAGTGGCTTCTCCCAGGGCCACTTCTAATTTTCAATTGACTAGTCTGTCATTCACTCTTTTAAAAACAAAATGGATTATTATTGTGTGTGGGGGGGCACATTTGGAAGTCAGAGGAAGACTTTGTCGGGGGAGTTGGTTCTCCCCTTCCACCTTTATGTGCGCCTGAGCCTAGAACCGAGGCTGTCAGGTTTGCAGGAGAAAAACACGCCTGCGGAGCCGTCTGGTCAGCCCCACCCCTTCACTCAGTCTTTATTCATTCATCCTAGATATAAGCTGAATTCCAGAGATTTATCAAGAAATAAACCAGTGATTCTGTCCTCATAAGGCATGTAGACTGGAAAGAGCTCAGGCAGGTCTGTGATAGACAAGCCCCACGGTCTTACACAAAGGAGAGTCACAGTCTAGGAGGAGGCTGGTTATTGGTCAGAAAAGGTTACCACATGGTTAAAAGTATGCACTGAATTTAAAAAATGATCCATACACTAATCTGACAAATTCTAGTTTATATATGCACAGAATACAAAGTCATGACAATGTGAAATAAAAACTAAATAAATTTACCAACCCAAATATGTATTAGTACGTCCAACCGTTCTGAAAAAGACCTCTTCATCTTGTCTAACTGAGGCACCATCTTCCTGTTCCTGGGTGCCGGACCTGCTTTAGACTTCACTCATAGTGGTCATCGGCCACCCGGAACCTGCATTATTTAACTTAGTGTGATGTGCATGATCTAAGTCTTGAAAAGTGGCCAGGAATGAGCCAGGGGAGGGGGCCTGCAGTTACAAAGGCAGAGGCTGTGGAGAAGAAGTTGTATTTTGGTTGGAATACAGGGGCACACACTCAGACTTCTGGTATGCACAGAGGCATGGAGACTAAAGCCGATACCAGGGCAGGGCATCTTGATGCTGGAGAGGGTCAATGGATGCAGATGAAAAATGTTTTCCAACATGCTGAACGTGAGGTGCCCAGGCAGCATGACATAGGTATAGAGTTCTCTCTCTCTTAAGGTTTAGGTTATTTCTACCAAATTTCTTGCCTACATTTAAAGTGTAGGGGGCTGGAGAGATGGCCAGCACTTGCAGCTCTTATGAGATCCTGGGTTCAGTTCCCAGCACCCATATGGGACTTCACAACTATCTATAACTGTAATCTTGTAGGATCTGATGCCCTCTTCTGGTGTGCAGATGTACACTCAGACGAGACACCCATATACATTTAATAAATAAAGAAGTAAATCTTTAAAATGTAGACATAAGAGTATTTTTCAGTATCACAATAGCTGAGATGTATCACTTACTGTGTATCAGAAACAATTCTAAATGTTTTCTTTTCATTAGAGCTGCTCATTCTCACCAAAGACCTGTGAGGTAGGAAATTACTGCCCTTACTTAGATGTCAGGAAACCAAGGCACAGAGGGGCATTTGCTCAAGGATACTGCTCATGAGGGGAGGACCTGGGCTTTGAACTTGGGTAGAAACTGAGTTTAAAATCCCCAGGTCCCACTGCCTCTCAGAGACTAGGGAAGACAGAGAAGACTAGAAGGACTGGATATCCAGTACCCAGGCAAAGGACTGGGGAAGAGATGCCACCAGAGCATGACCCAAGAGCAGCTCCACGGAGGAAAAGGAAGACCTGTATTCAGGGAAGGACTGCAGAAGATTCGAGACAATTGATGGGAGAAGACAGGCTGGTGGATGTGGAGATGGAAAAGGCATTATGTTGGGGTCCTAAATGAAAACATATTTGAATAGAGTTAAAAAAGACTGAAGGATGGAAGTGATATAGGTCAGCATAAATGATATTAAGATGTGTCTACACTAAAGGGCAGATAATTCCAATGAAGAGAATATAGCAATTGGAATGTCTGTAAAAATTTTTAAAATCTCTATCACTTTGTAATGGTCTTAGAACAATACATATACATGTGCATATTTAAATATTCACATACAGATACATATTTACATATATTTGTTTATGTGCACATCTATATAAGTAGAGTTCTGAGGATGAAGTTTGTATCCTACAATTCTGTCTCACTGCTGTTAGGCCCTTAACATCCTCCCCAGGAGTCTCAGGACAGGGCCGTGAAGAGCTGACTCACTGCCCATTGAGCCTCAAGACTCAGCTCTGGTCAGCTGGTCACATCTGTCTCTGTGATCGGCATTAAAAGAGACAGCAAGGAGGTTAAAGGTCAGAGGGGTGAAGGGAGATGAGGAGCCTGGGCAACTCCAGTGTCATTTCTGCTGCCAGTGGAGAGGGAGGAGCAGGGTTGAGGATCTGAGAGGCCAGGATCATGAGCAAAGGAACCAAGGACTGATCATTTCCTGCATATCACAAGCTGTGCTCTTGGATATCGTCAAGTAAGGAATGCAATTCTTAAGAGGATAAAAGTTGCTTTCATTAATATTATAGACATATTTGGAGACTTTCATTAAACAACATTTTCTGTGTGTGTGTGCGCGCGCGTGCATATGTGTGCAAAATTCCACTTGAAATGCATTTAAGAACACACCTGCAGATGGTTTTGGAGTTCCTTTGAGAGAAGCTGGTAGAAAAGACTTTTTTCACTGGACTCAACTAAACGATCATGAAACACTCGGCTGGCTTCATGGACTAAGAGCTTAGCAGCCATCTCTTTGGAGTTGATAACACTCTTGTCTGCTTGCATCAATCCCAGTAGAAGCTGTGCGGGATCAAAAAACAAAACAAAACAAAACAACAAAAAACAAAATATATAACCAACATTAGCAGGGTATTGTGTGAGATGAAAGCCCGAGTTTTGTGAGTGTATGTTTTATAAAAATAGAAGACACTTTCCAAGGTAAGAACCATTAGCTTCCGTAAATGACAATCTGAAGGTTTCTGTGGGATGGGCAAGTTAAAGTCAAAGAAACCTGCCACAGAATGGCTCCTAGTGGGAGGAGATTTGGTAACATCTCAGGTTCATCTAAGAGAGACTTGCCAGGATCAGAAGCCATAGCCTGGTGCCAAATGCTGCTAGCATAGGTGACAGTGAGGGACTTTTATTAACACCCCCCCTCACTCTTTAGCTTTGGCTGGCCTACAATTTTTCATGTAGAACAGGCTGGTCTCGAACTTAGAGATCTTTCTGCCTCTGCCTCCTGAACACTGAATTAAAGGTACCACCATACCTGGTTTTGAGGTACTGTCTAATGTTGATGTGTTTTGATTTTTGTTTTGATTAAGAACTCTTGTGCAAATCAGCTGAACTTTTACAGCAAGGGAAGAAAGATACCATACTAAATTTTTCTTTCTTTCTCTTTTCTTTCTCTTTTTCTTTCTTTCTTTTGTTCCTTCATTTTCCCTTTTTCTTTCCTTTATTTCTTTCATTCATTTCCTTCCTTCCTTTCTCCTCCTTCTCCTCCTCTTTTTCTTCTTCTTTTTTTTTTTTGAGGCAAGTTTTGTCAGTGTGTTCTTGGATGTCCTGGAACTCTCTGTAGACCAGGATGGCCTTGAACTAAAGAGATCCACTTGCCTCTGCCTCTCAAGTGCTGGGATTAAATATGTGTGCTACTGTCTTAGGGTTTCTTTTGTTGTGGAGAGACACCATGACCACAGCAACTCTTATAAAGGAAAATATTTAATTGTTATAACTAGCTTATAGTTCAGAAATTTAATCCATTATCCTCATGGTGGGACATGGTAGCATGCAGGCAGACACGGTGCTGGAGAGGGAGTTGAGAGTCCTACAATTGCAGGTAACAGGAAGTAGACTGAGACACTGGGCAGTATCTTGAGCATATGAGACCACAAAGCATGCCTCCACAGTAACACTCTTCATCCAACAAGACCACCTCCTCTAACAAAGCCACGCCTCCTAATAATGTCACTCCCTATAAGCTTATGGGGGCCAATTACATTCAAACTACCACAGCTACTATGCCTGGCTAAATTCTTTTTCTTAACATTGAAGTTGGAAAATTATTTACTTATGGCTGCTGCCAGAGCCAGCACTGCCAGAAAAGTAGTGAAAATTGATGCAGATGTACAAAGTACCTACATAGGTTCACTCCCGTGCAGTCACAGGAACGCCACACAACTCTTTCCCATGGACCTGTGCTCCTAATGCAAGTTCATGCTTACACCTTCTCACCTTCTCATGTGGACAGTACCAACAGGGAGGGAGACAGGAGACAGAGACTCAGTGCAGCACAATTGCATCTCAATTTAAGTGCTAAAAATAAGCTAGAGAATTAACTTCAAAACCGACCTTGAACATGTCTCGGGGGTTAAACATATAGTGGCATTTGGTTGGCGTTGGCAGCATGTTCTTGCAGACTTGATAGTATATCGCCAGGGAGCAAAGCACAATCTGGTCTCTACACCTCTGAACCTCAGCTGCGAAGTTATGGATGGAGAAATACATTCCCAAGTGAGCCTTTAAAGAGAAAATTTATGTCCAGTTAAACATTTAAATATGGGCTACAGCTAATATTTACCAAGAAGCATACATGTGGACTGCAATGGAGGGTTAATTCCACTGAAAATTATTCCTAGTTAAAATCTTAGGGCAGGGTAGTGGCATAAGTACAGAGGCACCCCTGGGTGTGGCAAACAGACATTCTGAGAGCTCTTACTGTTTGCCTAGTAGTCTAGAGGCAGGTGGTGTGTATTTCTTGGGGACACTTGTGGTGCTCTCTCATCTCCCTGCTCACTGAGAGAGCAGGTGTTAGAACATTACCCTGTCTGGATCACCAAATACATAGGTTTTCTTTGGAGAGTCCAAAATTCCTTGTGGGAAAAATGGCTCAAATTGAAATATAGTGTAAGTTTATACATCTGATGTGTGAAATTACATAGAACATAGTATCTTTCTTCAAAATTAATCTTACATTTTCTTTCTTTATAAAGTTTAAAGGTAAATTAAAACTATTTTTCTTTTTCTTTTTTTTTAAAGCCATTTTTCCTCGGATCCCTTATGATTCTGATGCAGCAGGAGAGCATGGCCACACCGGAAAGAAAACTGCTTTGGAAGAAAGCAAATGTGTGTGCCAGGCTGGCAGAGGAAATCCTGCCTCCTAGGAGAAGACGCCAAGGTCAGAACTAAGAGTGCTCATGCTTAAAGGGCCCATGCCAGATGCAGGAACTCAGTCAGAAGAATAAAGTCCTGGGATTGCATTAGACATGTACCACAGCACTTCATATAAACGCTAAATTGTGATTTCAGTATTAAGAGAAAAATCATTGGAATAGTCCAGAAAATGTAGGAGAAATAAAATTGATAAAGACAAGAATAATTTCTCAGTGTTAGTGTTTTCAAGTTCTCAGACTTTTCCTTAGAATATGTCCTTTTTTTCTTCCCCAGTAGAAAATGAGTTAGATAGGAAAGAGAGGGTGTATTTCATCTTACAGCTTGTGGGCCATTATTCAAGAGAGGCTGGACATGAATTCCAGGTAGGAACCTGGAGGAAGAACTAACACAGAGGCCATGGAGGAGTGCTACTTATTGGCTTGTTTCTCTTGGTTTATTCAACCTACTTTCTTATACACCCATGTTGACCTGCCCAGGGGTGGCACTATGCACCATGGGCTGGGCTCTCGGTGGGCCAGCCCCCCCATCAATACCAGTCAAGATAATGCCTAATTTTTAATGCCAGCGCTTAGGTGGCAGAGGCAGGTGGCTCTTTGAGGCCAGCCTACATACTGAGTAAGTTCCAGCTTGGTCAGGGTTACATAGAGAAACCCTATTTCAACCATCACACATGCACAAAGAAAAGATTTGCCCTTCCCAGGTATCTAGGCTTATGTCCAGTTGACAAAAACCAAGCAGTATAGTAGAGTACTATAGCATTCTTGAGAACCTGGTACTATTCCAGTGGACGGAGGGAGGGAGAAAGGGAGGGAGGGACAAGCTAGGTGCATTACCCGGAAGATAGTATACAGGGCGCTCTGTGGAGGATTAGGCAGCACCAGCAGAGAGAAGTGTTTGAGGAGGCGAGGGCTGACATCGTTCCCACTGGCAGAAGGTGCACAGGAAGCAATTATAGCAAGATCTTGAATGGTCTGTGGGAAGAGTTTTAAAAAAGGAATACATCTGCCAAAAGTAAAAATATATCAATTTTCCCACCCCACACAGAGGAATTTAGGCAAACATTTAGAATACTATTTATTATAAAACAGAAATTATAATGGTAATAGAACCTGTGTTCTTACAGGGAACCTGTCATAAAAGATAAATTACTTCCAGCTGGCTTTCTAAATGTCATCAGGAACATTCCATTTAAAAAATGACAGTCACTTCAAAATGTCAATCTATTAGAAGAATGATGTGGGATTCCTTCTGTATATGTGTTGCTTTTATTGGTTGATGAGTAAAGCTATTTGGACCAATGGCTTAGCAGAGTAAAGCCAGATGGGAAATCAGAACACACACACACACACACACACACACACACACACACACACACAGAGAGAGAGAGAGAGAGAGAGAGAGAGAGAGAGAGAGAGAGAGAAGAGTCAAAGAGATGCCATGTAGCTGAAAGACACTGGATCCTTACCAGTAGGCTACAACCTCATGGTGATATGTAGATTAATAGAAATGGGTTAATTTAAGATGTAAGAATTAGTTACCTAAGATGCCTGAGCCATCCACCAGGCAGGGTTGTAATTAATACAGTTTTTGTGTGATTATTTGGGTCTGGGTGGCTGGGAAACATATGAGCAATATCCAGTTACAGAAGAAAACATGGGGAAACACATCACAACACTTGTCTGGACAAAGAAGTTCAAAAACATAAGAGACAAAACTAACGTAGACATGTGGGATCATACCAAACAAGAAATTTCAGCATAGCAGAGTAGTCGACAACGTGACCAGTTATAGACCACAGAGCAAAGTTATAAGGTGCACTAGAGTAGTAACCACAGTGAATAGCAACTTACCATACATCCCCAGATCACCAGATGGGAGAATTTGGGATATCATTACTTAAAGGAAATGATAAGTGTTGGAGGTGATTCATGAGCTAATTGCTCAAATTTCATGATTAAGTCTTGTATAAATATAACAAAATGTCACCCTGTACCCATAGGAATGCCCACTGATTCTATGTAAATTAAAATTAACAAGAGGTCATTGGGAAATAAGCAACAGGTTGCTGAGGCTAGCAAAGAAGATGCTGTTGATGAATGAGTTATCACAGGAATGTATCTCTGTTGGGGCCAGGTCTGGCCTGGGACGAGAAGATGCTCGAAGTAACATCATATTGATCCTGATTCACCACAAAACCACAGCGGTGGTGTGCTGGTGGCTAGAGTCAGATCAGAACCCAGTCTATCCCAATGGGGTGCTTTTGACAGCCCTGGTCCTTCCCATGTCCATGTTGGGGCTGCAGATATCCCACCAAAGACCTGCTGTGATTATTTTCTGGTCATTTTAGGGCCATTGTCCAGGCTGTGTATTCCAGGACCCATTTCCTGTTCTCCTTCCTCCATCTCTCTCAGATTCTCTCTGGAGGGCTGCATTCTTCCTCTCTGCCTTAGGTGGATGGTGATTTGAACAGTTGGGCTAGTGTCTGAGCCAATGCCACCCACTAGCGAGCGTGATTCATTTGGGACCTTAGCTTAAGTCTGCCTGAGACAGGAAGCTTTGCAACACTGTCGTCTCATTTCACGGAGGAGAGATATGAGAACAGGACAGTTGAGACTGGTGGAGTCAGTTTTGGAACAAAGGGCAGAGATTTCCAGAGAAGGAACCAGAACAGGATCCCAACATGAACACTGTCTAAATTCATCACTCAACATTGCTGTAAGCATTTAGTAACAATATTTAGTGAGGAAAAATATCTTAGTATATACTGTACCTTCCATGTGTTTCTTTCAGTATCATAAAGCCCACCCATTTCTAATAACTGTCTGATCAATTCCAGGGGTGGCTGTGCTCCACTTGCGTCTGGTACCGGCTTATTCAAATCATCAATATACACTACAATCTTAAGGAAGACGGAAAGTTCAAATCATCAATATACACTACAATCTTAAGGAAGACGGAAAGTTTAAAAGTATTAATTAGTATACCCTTTGAAAAATTCTGAATTACCAATATCTTATCGTTCAAGAACAAAATGATATGCAATAATCTGCTTTTTAAAAATTAAAAATTAAGAAGATCAAATCTATTTTGAGGCTATGGTCTTAGAAGACAGCAAGTGTTCAAACCCACAGAAACTATCCACCCTTGGTCCTGACACAGCTGCAAGGTTTTGGTGCTGAGAAAGCAATTTAACTAACTGTGGCTCTCGCTTCTGAATGTGCAGCTCACTAAGCCCTTTCTTATTGTGTGCTTGTTCTTGGCAAGGCCCTGTTGTAGGATTTAGCCTTCCTATTTCATATGCACCATGACTGGAAAAGAAAATTCAGAAACATATTCCACTTTTTAAATCTGTATTACTTTTTTTTTTTACCTAGGACAATATTATACAGCTAAGTGTATTGATCATAATCTCCATGCAATGAAATCTTTTGCTTGTGTTTATTTTTCTGAAATAAAAATACAAATAGCTGCTTTAATTTCCCAATTTGTAACTGTCACTATTACTGTTATTATTATTTTTAGGAAAACACTGTTTTCCCCTCTTGGAACATAGACTGGCAGTCATGTTTCTCAACTGCATTTTATTCATGTGGGCAAAGATCAGTTTTATCTTTTATCTTCGGTGAATCTGAAGCAAATACTGAAGACCTACTAAAGGTAACCCAGCATTGTGAACAGGGACTCCTAGGGGCCCTGTGTAGGTCTCTTCGTAATTCTTGTAAATCTCTTGACAGTGAGCTAACATGGGGCTGTTGAATGGAAGTCAGTGATCGTAAATTCCAACTGTGACTCAGATAATAAATGGGCAGTTGATTCACACCAAACAGACTGGAGGAGAGATGAAGAGCATCCAATGCCACCCAGTGCCTGCCGGATTCCCATAAGTCATTCCCTTCATGCCTGCTCCGAGTCTGTAAGTTCTAGAAGCTCCTCTTTTTGTTAGAGCTTTGTGCAGTGGAAGAAAACGAGCAAGAAGCTACAGCTACCAAGCACCAGCAGCTAGCTCAGCCTCCAGACAACCTTCATGCAGATTTCGGCAAATTCTGCTGGTCTTAGTGATTCTCACCCTGAAAACACATCACACTGAAAGAGGAATACACTGGTTTGAAAATCAAAGTCCCCATTCAAAGGGCATTTTTAAACAATGCTCAGGAGTGTGTGTTCTCCTTCTCACTAACAAAAACAAACCAATTTGTTACTTGATTTGTATAAGCGGACAGCCTAGAGGGTCTTTATTACCCTGTTGTTTTTCGGGGCTCCAAGTATGTCTTTGGTCCTTCTGACTAACTTCCGTAGAATCAGCTCCTTGGTTTTGGTGGCTGTCATGTTGGTGGTGAAGTTTATTGTAGAGACTATAATTCCTTTGTCATTTTTAACTGGGGTTTCATCATTCTTAATCTCCACTCTCCTTGTACTCTGATCTACAATGCCAAATACAAAAAGAGAAATAAATTTAGGGCAGTTTAAGAAAGATTTGCTCTATTTTAGGGTGTTAAGAAATTTGAAATGAGCAATTCTATCTTATTGTTGTTCTTTTAACGACAGTGCTCAAAGAGGAACAGCAGCTTGCAATGGCTCTGTGAGTTCTCACTGTAGACTGTGTGTCAGAACCCAAAGTGCAAGCAGCGGTGTGAAAGCTGAGGGAGCCCTCTTCTCATTTGTGTATGTTAGAGACATCCAACTGAACGACTGGAAAGCGGCATGCAGGTCTTGTTCCAGGGCAAGCCTCATTCTGAAGGATACAGAGGATGCTGCTGCAGTGGTTTGGGACCCCACAGTCCCTCTGGCATTCATGTGTCTGCTGTCAGGAGTCCTGGCCTGAGAGCTGCAGAGTCATGACTTTCTCCTGTATTGTGTTGAAAACCAGGGAAGCAGCAACCAGACAGCACCTTCTACCAGGCTGACAGGACTCACCTGTGAACGCACACGGGCTTCTCCACCATAGCCTCTTGTACCTTTTCAGGAGTTTTGAGTGGGTTCTGGATAATTTCCAACAGGTTGTATTTTAAATGAACAATTCCAGGTCTCTCTGTCTCTCTCTCTCCCTCTCTCTCTCTTTCTCTCTCTCTTTTCTTTCTATTTTTTCTAAGACAGGGTTTCTCTGTGTAACAGCTCTAGCTGTCCTGGAACTAGCTTTGCAGATCAGGCTGGCCTTGAAGTCACAGAGATCCACCTGCCTCTGCCTCCCAAGTGCTGGATTAAAGAAATTCTAGCTTTGACTTTATGATTTCTTACAGTAGGGAATGAGAAGGTTGACCCCGTGGGTTGCACACTTACCAAAACCTCCGAGTGCTGTTTTGTAGGTCTCAGCAATCAAGATGTTGATATTCTGCCTTAGGCTGTTAGGACCAAACATATAAAGGACCGCAAATTAGTTCATCATTTTAGCTGTAGTGATAAAGTCTAATCAAAGCAACTACACGTCATCGATTTTTACTTCGATTTCCCACATGAAAAGATTGTTTTGCTGTTCGCACTGCTATAGCCCTAAGCCCTCTCCACCTGCCACTTTCTTTTCAGCTACAACAAAAAAACATGCTTCTCTAATATTTTAACAATGTGAGACTTAGTTTTAGAAATGTGTTTTATTTCAGAATTTTTTATTTGCAAAACAGGATTATATTTTTCTTTTAGGAAGAGGAAGACAAAGTTCAGAATGATAAGCACAAGCTCCTTGTAAAAAGTCTCTTCAGATGCAGATGCTTTATTTCTATCACAACAAGCAGAGATTATGCAAACTTTTGTGAGTTATCTGAGGTGCATTTTTCCAGGAGGAAAATAGCTTATAGTTACATTTTATGTTATATAAAATGCATGGTTCTAAACTTAGTTATATTTAAAAATAAATGCAAGTATATCTGACTTAAAGGAATGAACCTATCTGTTAACACTCTGGAGAAAAGTAAAGATTACCCTCTAAACAGAAAATTAGGGTGAACCAATAAGGAAAAAAGATTAAATCAGTAACAAAAAGTTGGCCATTAGAGATAAAGCATCTCAGAACTGTGGTTTCACACTGCATTCTACTCATTGTTTAAAGAAGAATGGATACTAATGCCACATGCTACCAAAAGGATGAATGTAGAAGGAATATTTCCAAACCCATTTCATAAAGTCAGCATTGACCAGATAAGAAAGCCAGAAAAATTCTGTAAACAAAGAGAATTTCAGGACACTATCACTTAGGAATACAGATACAAAAATCTTCAACAGAAAGCTTACAACCCCAAACTCAACAGTGTATGAAAGAGACTATTCTTCATGATCAAATGAGATCTATCCTTGGGATGTAAGGATGGTCCACCATATACAAACAATAAAGTCTGAGGCAGCATAGTATGGAATAAAGGACAAAGGCTATAATAATCATTTATCAATAAGTAAAAAAATCGATACTGAAAACCATCATGAAGCTGAAAAGTCGCACAATATCTGAAACTATAGCCAGTATTCATGGTTTAGAAAAATCAATACTGTTATAATGTTTATAATGCCTAAAATGATCTACAAATTCAATGCAATATCAATCAAAACTCAAACTAGTTTTCATTTTTCTTTTGGAATCACAAAACTCCAAACAGACACTGCAATCCTGAACAGAAAGAAAAAGGCAGAAGTAATTACAGGGGCTGGAGAGAAGCCTGTGCTGAAGAGCTTCACTGCTCTTGCGGAGGACTGGAGTTTGGTAGCTATCACTCACGTCAAACAGCACATAATGACCCCAAACTTCAGCTTCAGGGTATACCGAGCTCTCTTCAGGGCTCTGCAGGCATTGGCATTCACATGCACACACCCTACACAAATACATAATCTCAAAAATTAAAACAAAAAGAATATAATACAAGCGAATATTAATTAAAACAAGAGGTTATTGCCATAAAAAGTGAACTAAGCCAGGCAAGAAGGATTAAATTCTGTACAGCCTCTAATATACTGAGAATATGAAGAAAGCTCAACTTGTGGAAGCAAAAAGACGGGGTAGGTGTCAGGGGCCGAGAATGAGGTGGGTATAAATGGGTGTCTGCTCATGAATGCAAATAGGAGAAGCCTGATTTCAAGGTGTATCACATGGGTATGGAGGGTACTGTTAACATGTATGTATGTATGTGTATATATATATATATATTAGGAGAGATTGGGAAAATAATTTTTCTTATTGCCTCATTTGAATAATTCTCATCATTATATAAAAGTTGCTTTGTAAGAACAAACTCCACATTCATCAAGGAAATATTTTTGCCAGATAAGTCAAATTTAAAGTTTGATATATATATATACCTTGTTCTTTTAATTTCATTATGTAACAGGACTTTTCCTAAAATTGACCCGAATTTTATATCGAATGTTCCTCGGCCCTCTAGCTTGTCAAGCATCTCCGTGATGGCAGTGGTCTTCCCGACACCGGTGTCTCCTGAGGGGGAGATGCATTACACATTTCTACATGATAGCATGAGCTAGTAGACATGTATTCATTTGAATTGGCATGGAAAGCACATTTTTGTTCTTCTGTTTTAAAGGTGAGAGAAGTTAATTAGAACTTCATGTAAATTTCTTTCAAGCTGTCTGATTTATATTCTTACAAAAGACAGATTAGGGGATAATTGTATTTTTTATTTAATGTTCATTCAAGCCCATCACAACTGTTTCGTGCTTAGCACACTAGAACTGTGTTAAATAAGACTCTTTGAACCAAATGAAGCAAAATCAATTAAAAATAGACATTTTATGTGCATGAGTGCTGTATCTGTCTGTATGTGTGCGCACACGATGTGCGACACCTGCCCGTGAAGGTTGCAGACTCTTCTGGGACTGACGTTACAGATGGTTCTGAACCACGAAGCTGCTAGGAAATGAACCTGAGCCCTCTGCAAGTGCTGCAGACCCTAAGCCTCTTCTCCATCCCACCTCCAGGCCTTGAACTCAACAATCTTCCTGCCTTCGCCTCATGAGTACTGGAATTACAGACCTATATCACAACACCCAGTTCCCTTAATTTTTTTTTTTTTGTGCTAACACCGTCTAAGGTGGCATTTAAATATAAACTTACTGAAGCAGAACAAGGACTCATGATTCCAAGTTCACAAGACAGAAAAATGTAAGAGTTTCCTTAGACAAATTGGAGGTGACTGTGTGTAGTCTGAGTGTCACACTGCTGAACTTCTTTGTGTGTGTCCCTGGGAACACTCTATTATTCTCCTCTAGGGATACACAACACAGGACAGAGACAGGAAACTGTTAGTCAATGGGTTGGATAAATACTCAGAACAGACAAGAACTGTATTGAGTTACTCCTTTGGTAGAAGGCTGGAAGAATTTTATGGCATCTTTACAAATTGCTTAAGTTTAATTAGACATTTGGCATTCGCAGAGGTGGCCCTCTAAGGACCAGGGCCTCTGGACTGTGGAGGTCAACCACACTTTCATCCAGTGTGTATCTTTCTAGAGTTTGTCTTTAATGTAATGAAAAGATGAAAAACTATAACATCCAAGTCTGGAGTGGTGGGCACACCCATAATTCCAGCACTAGGGAGGTTAAGGCAGGAGGATCATCTGTTTAATAACAGGCTGGGCCACTCAGCAAGAACAAAAAGGGAAGCTGGGCGGAGAAGAAGGAAGACAAGGAACACACAGGCAAGCTTATAATGTCCTTGGTTAAAACAGGCTTTCATGGGCTGTTGGTAGATCTGTGGAAATCAGGTTCTCTAAACTTGCAAGGCCGATTAGTCAATTCTCACTTAAAAATGGCTAGACCCAGGAATTGTTCAACTTCTTCCTGACTTGGAAATTCCTTTGCTTCTTTTCAATACCTGTCAGAAGTACAGGGCAGGAATTCTTCAGGAGAAGACTCATGAGGAAAGACAGGCAGATGGTGTCCCGGGTAGCAGTGTAGTTCACATACTCCCCGCACTCCTTCATCCTCAGCACAGTGTCACTCGATCCCTGGAAGTCAGTCAGTAACGATGTCCCTAAGGTCGGAAAACAGTGTGTAAGTTCCAGGTGACCTCAAATAAGATAGCAGCCAATAATTTTTGCTCTTCGGTATTCTCTGGGCAAGTTAGCATGGTGCATGGCAACGTGGACATGGACAGACTGGCCAGTGTTGTTAGATGTGCCTGAGGTCTTTGATGGGCCTCAGAGACTGCTCTTCCTGCACGCTCAGCTGTCCAAGACATCGTGCACATTCCTAGAGTCAGTTGACTTTCCTACCCCAACCTGCTGGTCTAGTCCTTCTTGATAGAAGGATGGGGGAGCAGCTCTCTTCCCAAGGCTGCCTGTTGCCCTAAGAACCCACTTCTCTTGCTGCCCTTCCCGCCATGCAGACTAAGAACCCCATTTCTCTTGCTGCCCTTCCTGTCATCCAGACTCTTTTCTGCTAGACGTTTTGGTCATACAAGTGTTTATGAACCTTGAACCTTATTATCTGGACCTCAGGAAACTGACATTTCCAAAAGTAAAGAACAGTTGGATACAGACAATTCATTGTGAAATAAAACACAGACAGACAGACACACGAGACAGAACAAAACAAAAACCAACCAACCAACCAACCAACCAACCAAACAAAACTGCTCTCTAGAGAGTTACCCTGATCCTTGTTTTAAAACTTCACCTTATTATTACTGTTGTCTACTATAGTGTGTGTGTGTGTGTGTGTGTGTGTGTGTGTGTGTATGGGTCAGAGGACAACTTTGTGGAGTTGGTTCTCCCTTTCCACCTTTACGTGGGCTCCAGAGATTGTTCCCTTACTCTCTGCCCTGTAACACACCCTTTAAAGAAACTGTATCCGTATTCTTTCCTCATTACACCAGCGCACAGCCGAACTGTCAGTTGGTCAGCCGTGTTTACTCAGCCGTTGTTTATTCTTCTTCTTCGTGAACAGTAGCCGAACAGCACAGATTCAAAGCACACACAGAGACACCACACTGAGCCATAGCTGCATAGAAGCAGCTTTGCTTCCCGCCTTTTCTAACTACTAATTCCCATGTAGATTCTGTTCCATCCAATTCACTTTTAGTGAATTTTAGAGATTCTTCTAAGCCAACATGTTTTTATTAGTGTTATTTAAAACACTAAGGATTTATTCAACAAATCCTTCACCAGTGCGGTGGTGATGAGGATCGATATCACTTCCACACAGCTGCCACAGCACATGTGCCCCTCCCACCATACACGTGTGTGCACACCTACATCATGCGCACACATACAATAAATACAATTTTTTTTTTTTGGTTTTTCGAGACAGGGTTTCTCTGTGGTTTTGGAGCCTGTCCTGGAACTAGCTCTTGTAGACCAGGCTGGTCTCGAACTCACAGAGATCCGCCTGCCTCTGCCTCCCGAGTGCTGGGATTAAAGGCGTGCGCCACCACGGCCCGGCAATAAATACAAATTTTTAAAACAGCTCTACTCAATTCTTCCTTAAATTGCCCGTGTCACTTAAGTATTACTGTATGTTACGTGTGTAACTGTTTTGCCTGGACATCTGTCTGCACTGTGTGTACAGCGGCCAGAAGAGGGAACTGGATCCGCTGGAGGTGGAGTGACAGATGGTTTGAGCCTTCATGAAGGTTTTAGGAATTGAAACTCGGTTCTCTGTTAAGTGCAGCAAGTTCTTAACCTCCAGACCATCTCTCTAGCCTTGGCCTTGTCATGTTTTATATTTTGTAACTCCTTCAAGTATCTTCAAGCTGACTTTTTATTTGAAGACCAGGCACAAGGTGCCTTGGGTGGTGGTATAGATTTCAGTGAGCATCTTCGGCTCCCTCTTAGCAGTGTTACTAGGAGGTCCATGCCTCCGCCAAAGCAGCCTTGGCTGGAGCTGCGCCTAGCTAGCAGCGCTAAACCGTTCTGAGAAGGCCTTGCAGGCCAGTCCCACTGGCTGCTTCAGCATACCTTTTTCTTCCCCCACATTAAACTCTACAGTTTCCCCATCTTCTACACTGGCCAGAGACCACCATGGAGTCTTTTTTAAAAAGATTTTTGTTTATGTATATGTGGTCGTATATATGCCACAGTGAGCAGGCAGAGCTCAGAGGACCCTGTGGATGTCAGGGATCAAACTCAGGTCACCAGGTTTGGTGGCCTTTACCCACTGAACTATTCTTCTTAATGGCACAAATACAACCTCTTGGGTGTCACTTGGAGTCCTAAGTCCACGTCTATTTCTGATGTTGGTTCATTTGACAGTGCTGAAGACTTTGGTGGTGCGATCTTTCTTCTCCATGCTTTTACTGCCAGCCATGACTAAGGAGGCTGTGGCTAAAAATGTCAGGGCTGTGGGGCAGTGGCGACAGAGCCCATGTTTCCACAAGGACTTCTGGCAAGCAGGCCACCTCTGCTGTAGCTTCCTGGAGGTAGCTGCCTTGTCGACCTGGCTCCCACTGCCTCCACTTTTCCTCAGCACCCCCAATCATTCATTTATTAATACTTTATACACAAGCTTTTCAACTTATGATGGAGCTACTTCCAATAAACCTATGGTAAGTTTAAAAAAATTGCTATTTGAAATGCATTTAATACAACGGAAACTTCTAGTTCAGCGGCACAGCATACTGGGGGAAGGTGGGCTGTTCACCCTGAGGTTCTGTGCTGCCTGGGAGCTGCAGCCACTGGCGACTCCCCAGAGCTGCAGGAATCATTCTGCTTCTGACCAGCCTGGGAAAGACCCAAATGGAAACTAAAGAATTCATAATTTCTGTTCCACAAGTATTCACACCACTAGAGAGTTGAAAAACTGTAAAACTGAAATAACTTTTAACTTTAATTTTAATGAAGTTTTGTCATTAAGTTCTTGCCTTATCTCCTACCAAGCTCCCAGAGTTCAGCAAGATGAAGGCTCTTCTGTGGTAGGCAGAGACAGGTTGCTAATATGGATAACTGCCGGCATGAAAATTAAACCACCGTTTTCTTCTTTTCTGTTGCTGCTCTTTTGAGATAGGGGCTAAAGGCTGGACTCGTACTATGTATTCCGGACTGGACTTGAGCTAATGGCTATTGTCCTGTCTCAGTTTCCCAAGTGCTGGGAATCTAGGAGTGATCCAACATAAACACCTTCTTTTTAAATTGCTGGTTTCGTTTACAAACAGCTACATGATCTTATGTATATGTGTTTTCTTACTTTGAAAGAGTTACTTTGCATTATTGGTTAGTGAGCACAGCTAGTTAAACCAATAGACACTGTCATTGGTGAGCCTCTCCAATAATGTGTCTAAATATACTACACATTTAAAAATTATTTATTTTATATCTATGGGTATTTTGACGACATGTATATCTGTGCATCATATGCATGTCTGGTGCCCAGGGAGGCCAGAGAGGGTTACAGATCACCTGGATCTTGAGTTACAGATAGCTGTGAGACTCTATGTGGGGGCTGGGAAATGAACCCGGGACCTCTGGAAGAGTAGCCAGTGCTCTTCATCTTGGAGTCATCTCTTCAGCCCCTACTACAAATTTCTTATAAAGTAATGTTCTAAGGTGATCTCAAGGCACATCTTATTAACGTGAAGAAAAGCTACCCCTACAAAGATAAATACTGGAACATGTCAACCCTCAGTGGTGCTAACACATCTATCTTTATGATTAATATACTTCTAGAATCTTAGAAAAGCTGAAAGCCTTTAAAAATAATATACTTACCTTTCTGAATTATTGTCAGAGCACTAGGAACTAAATCTGACCAAGGCATAAACTCACAATTCTGTAAGTCCACAAAATACCCAAATATAGACCGTTCACCACCTGGTAAGTTGATCCCTCCGTCTGAAAACAACACATGCAAGAATCCAGTAAGACAGCGGCTCACCAGTTCACCAATGCCACGAGCTCCACCTGAAGGGAAGGGTTTGTGGGCCAGGAGCCCACTGGAGTTCATGCAGCTACATAAAACAGGCAGGCCATTTCCTCTCATATTGGTTTGTACATGAGCAAAGGTTGATTAACTTTTTAAATCATTTCCCATGTAGACAAGGGTAAACTGTGATCAAATGGCCTATGAAATCTTATCCCAAAGTGCTTCCTATTGCTGTGTGTGTAAAGGCTAGTAAATCCCAGCAGCACACTGGCTCAGTTCAGGCCAATATAATACAGAATGCTGAGAATATTTGTAAATCATAAATCTTTCCCATTTTAAAAATAATACATTTATTGGAAAAGATTCTTGAAAATATAAGCTACAAAAGCAGAATAGATTATCCACAGTTTCATCAAAGGTAGCAGAGTTGCTATTTAACTCATGAGTGTACATGCACAACCATATACCACAGTTGATATATTAATATGCACCTTGTTAGTTTGCATGGCTTGTTTTCTTCTTTCAGTTTCTGTTAGAGATATATTAAAATGATTTGTTATATTTTCTTTTTGAGACAAGGTCTTATGTAGCCCAGGCTTGACTCAAACTCGCTATATACTCAAGGATGTCTCCCTGCCTCCACTCTCCAAGCCCTGCGACTATAGGCACGCGCCACACTTGACCATGATTTTCCAGTTGCTTGTTTTCTCTCAGAATCCTTACAAATTTTGTCGATAAAACTATGCTGTTAAAGTCAGACGAGTTCACAGTGGTTTGTGGATCCTTTTGTGTGTGGTACATGCATGTGTGCGCGCACATGTGGAGGCCAGAGTAGGAGAGCAGGTGTCTGCTGTCACTGTCCACGTCATTGCCGCGACACAGTGAGGCTCTCCCTGAGCCAGAAATCTGATGGAGGAAGGTCATTGGTTAAATAAAAAGAAACTGCTTGGCCCTCATTGGTTAGAAGATAGGTGGGAGGAGTAAACAGAACAGAACGCTGGGAGGAAGAGGATCTCGGGAGCAGATGCCTCAGAGAGAAGTCATGCTCCCAGCTCCCAGGCAGATGCACGCGATGAAGCTCCGACCGATGGACATAGGATAGAATCTTCCTGGTAAGCGCAGCTCGTGGGCTACAGCAGATTATTAGAAATGGGCTAGTCCAGGTACGAGAGCTAGCCTAGAAGAGGCTAGATGGAAATGAGCCAAGCAGTGATTAAATGAATACAGTTTGTGTGTTGTTATTTCGGACATAAGCTAGCCAGGCAGCCGGGGTGCTGGGGACGCAGCCCCGCCGCCCTTATTACTACAGAAACCTACCATTTGGCTAGGGTTGCTGGTCCCAGAACCCTTCTATCTCCGTACCCCAGTGCTGGGCTAGCAGGCACATGCAACCAGGCCTGGCTTTTAAAGTGGGTGCAGGATTCGAACTCAGGGATTAATTCTTGCAAAGAAAATTCTATTACCCTCTGAACCATCTCCTCAGCCCATGCAGGTTACTATTATTTTTAAATATAGTATTCTTTAATCTGCTTTAACTTTTGGCTTCTATTTTACTTTACTGCTCCTCTGCCTTATTTTGTATTTGTATCACATATACTTATTAGATTATTTTTAGCATTCTGTTTCAAATATACTGATTTATATATTGTCCTGATTAATCCAAAACTTTTTAATATTTCTATCCAAACAAAGACCTTAATATTCTTTACCCACTGAACACATTTCCCATCATCTTGCTATTTTGTGTATAATTTAGATTTTATAGTTTTAACAAAAATAAACTAGTTTATAACTGGTAGGTAACTGACCTCTTTCTGACTCTTCTTCAAATAATTCATGAACAAGGTTGTCAAAATTGTAGGTTACTTCTGCAAGAGAATCAGGTTCAAAACTTGAACGAAATAGCAAGTCTTCTTCATGTTGGTCTTCGCGCTTTAAAACCCCTCCAAATGCCCATGTAAACGCAAACACGAAGATCTTCTGAATCATTACTGTTAACTTTTCAGGATTTTTTTCCAGGTACCATGCATTCTCATCCCTGTAGTAGCTGTGTGGGTGAAAATCAATGCCAGGAGCTTTATGAAGTGGTGGAAAATTTATCTCAACATTATGTGAAAGTTTTGTTAAAAATTGCAATAGAGTATTGATGTAAAGATACATAATTTTTACTCAGATAACAGTCACAGAAATTAGTTATTATATTTATTTTTAAAGTACTATATGTTATAAGACATTCCTACTTTTGTTTTACACCTATTTTTGGTAATGTGTTGACAAACTTAATCATATACCCCTATTTAACATATAATTCTATTTAATGTATGTATATTCACACCTTTATCATGATAGATTTTTGATACTTGTTTAATAATTTGATTTATATACATGCTTTACATATGCACATCATTTTATTTAGTGTTTATAAGTAAACCTTTTTAATTTTAGGTGAATTTTAGTTGAAAGTTTACTTGCTGGGGGAGAGGATCTGCTAATTCTGTGTTTCATGAAAGACCCAGCATACAGTGATTTGCTTTGCATTTCTCTTGGCAAGTCTTAATTTAGTTCAACATGGCTACTGACGGGCACCCGGAATCTGAGGAGACTGCTTTCTAGTTGAGGTTAATCCGGGCTCCTCATGGTTAATGAACCATGAGTTTTGGGGTGATAGGATTGATGATAATAAACAGGATTGGGCCTACTTCCAACATCTTGCATTGTTATAATTTATAAAAAACTAAATTATAAAAAACTAAGATATTATCAGATTGAAATTCATCAGTCACTGTTGGCACATAGTACACTTGTATAGTTCTGTCTGAAATGTCTTGCTGTGCACAACTTAGCAAACACTTATGAAATGTTTACTATTTCTCAGTCACTCAGAACGAAGGGGATGTGATGCCTTTTTCACAGGCCAGGGAGGAATAAACAAAGCTCTGAGTTGAGTACGACCTGAGGAATAATCGCGGGTTAATGTGGGGGGCACAGGGCACCTTGTGCTCACAGGTAAGCACCAGAGGCGCTGTTCCATCAAGGGAAGGAAGGCGGTATCTGCTATCCAAAAGGCTGGGAGTGGACATGCATCCTAGCCTGGAGGCAGAGACCCTTCTCACAGGCTTGCCCTTCTCACTCCACAGAGCCTATCTTTATGGGAGGGGTCACATGTACTTTACAAACAGTTTCGATGCTGTCATATCTAATTTTTATTTAGCTTACTTTGTTGCCCAAAGAGATTTGTGAATGCTTTGTTATGCACATAGGGTGGAGTTAATTATCACCATAAATGCTTTCATTAAATTCCACCTACCTAAAATAACCCCCTGGGGTCAGACTCCCAGGGTTTGGACCAACAGCAGCTTAGTGTTGAGCTCAACTGCCTTCTTGATCTCTATGGACTGTCACTCTGCTGGCCATGGAGGCTGTAGGGACTTAGACTGTGGGCTCAGCAAAGGCCACCATCCAGAAAAAAATATAGATGGAATAATTCTATAGCTGTAATGCTCCACGCACCTGACTATTAACCTAACTGATCTAGACAGCTAGCACGTCCCATTATTGTTCCAGGTTTGTAAATGAGGTAGAGATTTAAAATTTTATAACTTATTCAGTGTTTTGTAGCTTATAAATGGCTGATATGTAAAATAAACACAATTTTATTCCATTCTAAAATGTGTAAGGGCAAGATGAATTTTTTTTACAATAATTTATGTAAAAATAATAAAACGTGATTATCTTGTATTAGTTATACAGAGGACTCTGAGTTGGGAAAAAATAATGTAGACTTTTTATGTAATTTTGTGAAAACTGACAATGGTCCCATGTGCATTGGGTGTTTCACATCTAGGAGACTCTGCAAACACCTTTGCTGGAGGAATGTAACTGACCTCTTTTCTGTATTCTTGAACTTGACTCTCATAGCTTTTGTCTCTCTAGTGAAGGTGTCATCCGTTTCGTCATCACCTTAGAAACGACAGGATTTTTGTACAATTAACAACAGATCTACAGTTTCATAGGTTAACTAACAAGGCCCAGCCTGTAACACTGTTGAGATGTGAACCGCTGTAGGGAGGGTCATTCCCACTGAGGCATCGCAGGCAGACTGTGCATGTCTCTTCCTGACTCCTTTTGTCCAAGTCATCCATTCCACAGAGGAAAACAGAATAAATCGTGACTCATTCTTTATAGCTTAGTTTTCTAATATTTGCGTTCTCAATATTAAAATATATCTCTTTTAGAACATTTCAAAACAGAAAAGTATGCAGAAAAAACATTAACTCAGTTTCACTCTCCCCCACAACCATTAAAATATTGCTGTATTACTTATGAAATAACATAAAGCACACAATTATTTTAAATTTTAAACCCAGATAAAAATGAAAAGGCATGTGTTCTTATCCGGGTTTTGGATTTTAAGGCTGCTTTTAGTGCTATTTTGTGTCCTTTGAGGCATTTTCTTGCAGTGTAACTTACTAAGCCAATCTCCCATTGCTGGAATTCAGGTTTTTCTATGACTGCAAATAGTTCGGCTGTGTATGGACCTTTGCATAATTCTCAGATTATAATTATAAAAGGTCCTAGAACAACACCATGAAGGCAAATTCCTCACTATGTTCTGCACTGCTAAATTGCTTTAAGAAGGTTGTCTCAATTGGTACCTTCTTTTTGAGTTTATTCTTTGGTACATTCTAGACATCAATATCTACCAAGGGTAAGGAAGTCCCCACAGGCCCCACCCTTTCCTGAGGAGATATTAAGGAATGGTTAAAGGTTGCTGCAGGGTGGGGTTGTCATTTCTTCAGGGGAGTA